GGCTGGGAAAGTGGGACGGGTAGTCCAACGGTTGTGCGTGGTGCAATTCCCGCACATTCCATTTTCAGCTAGTCGTTATAGTCAGGGGGGTGAGGGAATAGCGAGTGCGGGAGGAAGCTGCACGCTCACAATATTATTTGTCCAGTAGAAGAGTCGAAAAATGCTTCAGTCCGAATAGTTTCTACCGCTGACGGAGTTGAAGTATTTGATACTTCCAACCTCTGTTGTCTCCAGCTCACATTATCTGACACCTTCCGCTCACTCTCCCCTCGAAAAATGCTCCTTCAATTCTATACAATTTCTACCTAGGCATACACAAATAGTCGGGCCATCCATAGCTGCTGGTCCCAATCAACGTGATTAGTGCGACCCCACAAGCGCTCGGTCGCCTAGATCACGCGTTGACCTTTGACCAACCGTCATGACCAGTCAGGCTAGTCAAAATCGGTCATGGCTTCGGTCATGACCGCGGTCAAAACAACGCTGGTCTCTACCAATTCACCTATCGCAGGAGCATGCTACACGACCCAGCCGAATACCCGGAGCCGGAGACGTTTCGCCCCGAGAGGTTCCTCAACGCGGACGGGTCCCTGAACAGCGACGTCCGGGACCCCGCGACGCTTGCGTTCGGCTTCGGACGTAGATACGCGCATGCTAATGTCGCTGATCTATAGACAAGTGTACAGATCTAATACTCCTCCCGCGCGTATAGGATTTGTCCAGGGCGCCACTTTGCCGAGCGGACCCTCTTCCTGAGAACATCGAGACCGTTGAGTCCAGCGAGTCTGGCGGACTCCGCCGGACTCCGGGGATCACATGATCTGGCCAAGCAAGGCACTGCTGATTGCCGCTAGATCCCTCTGGCGCCTTTTGTGAGTTTCTTGTGCCAGCGCAGAGGTCGGCTTCACGGTGCATGTTCGCGGCTGGAGCTATCCTCTGGATACAAACCATTGACGCGCCCCGCCCACGTATTGTATCATGTTGTCTACGGAATATATGAGACTTGTGCGCTCCTCATGGCACAAAACCTACCACTGGCGAATGTAAACCAGCTCGAAGAAATGGCTTCCGCCGTCCTCAATCGGTAGCAGGTAATTCAATTGCACACAACATCTGTCTAGTGCAATCGGCGAGCCCTCATCTAGTCTACATGAAAAATAACATACAAGCTCAATGCACTTGTCACTTTATATTGCTTTTGCGATACAATGTGACGTACTCCTCCATACCTGCCTTTAAGTACACTAGACCTTTCTTTACTGCGTAAACCTGCTCAGCTGCCTTGGAGACAAAGGACTGGTCATGGGTTACGACGTGCACTGTGACCCATTTATTACTAACACCTCCATCTCCAAAGTGCCTCTGTTGTCAGGTAGTTGAGGTGGTTGGTCGGCTCGTCCAAGACAACTTGAAGGTGGGGAGACGACCCGAACGTCGCCAAAGTGAACACAATGCATCAGCAAAAATGTCGAAGCACTGTAATGCTGGTTGTAATGGCAATATAAGGAAAGGCTACATAGCCTTTTATTATAACGCTGATCTTGGCAAGATGGACGGTGTAATGGCATTAGATATGAGAGCTAAAATCCTGTGATCATCATATTATATCGAGCCGTCATTATATTCAATAAGCTTGCACTGGAACACATGGGCGCGCTCGGCCAGGGATTATCATGCGAGCCAGGAGTTCCCATGCCAATCCCATTGTATGGATGGACAGGGATGGTGTTGACAATGGAGGTCCGTTGCCAGCACACGCTCTGACCATTGGGCACAATATCACACATAAAAAGATATGATAGAAATATTCATTGAGGGCAAATACGGTACGACAGCAGCGCGAGCGCAGAACGGCCATGAGGGGAGAGAGCATAAAGGTCAGGCACAGAGGACAGAAGCACAGCACGCAATAGAGGAACGTCGGCAAACACTAAATCCGAGGCCATAACAGTTGCTAGAAGGGAGACGCCAAAGTGGATGTCAGCTCAGTGACGGCTGGGGAAGTGGAGGATGATAGGCCCTAGGAGTGTAGTTGTTCTGACTAGGCGGAAGCGAGGGCGACTCAGACAAAGAAGACGCGGGGCCGTCCACCTGAGGAATCCTCGACGTAGATGTCAATGCCGATATTGTATGGAATACTGCAACACTTGACAGGTGAGTGGCCGGATGACCAAAGACGAGAGATGGCGCTCATCTTAGTGCAGCGCGTATTACACCTTTCCACACATATGCAGGGTATCAGTATAGTCGTCCTTGCCGAGTAGTGAGAAGTAAACGCACACCTGTCGTATGGTCTGGCTCAATGCACAAGATTGTTGCCTCGTCAAAGCCAGACCTGAAAGAAGACGGGCTGAACGACCGCACGTTGACCGAAAACATGTCCGCGGATGGGCCTGGTATCGACGTACAAGGAGAGAGCACCGGTAGGGAACCTGCAGACGGTGAAGGAGAGCGGTTCGTCGAGCAAGAAGAAGCAGCCTGGGCCGATGTTGTGGGGCGACCTTGTTCAAGTACCGTACGGTGCGTCAGCGGTGACAGTATTGGCCCAGTCAATCTTTGGGCATGTCGATGATGGGAGAGGAGAGGAGGGGGGCGATGACTGATCTGGGCACGCGCGCAGGCTTTTGAGAAGAAAAGACAAGGTGATTGACAGGTCATGACTTATGACCTCATGCATGCCAAACGTCCCCCCGTATTGAGACTGGCCACGATCTGCAGCCGTAGCCCTAACCCAAGGCTATTCTGCTCACGAGCGTCGGACACCGATTGTGCGGTGGACTTGCGAGTGACCTTGGACTTGGTTGATATCGTCAACCGTACGGATGCGGTACAAGCTGTTGGACGGTCAATGAAGATGCACACGTCTTCCGTGTCCTCCCCACACTACTTGG